TGTCTGTCTCATGTTTCCTGTTTTATTTTGAAGGAGTCGTGTGTTCTTTGTTCATTGTATTTAGTTTCACAGTCAGTTCCTCAGTTAATTCTCTGTCAGTCCAAAACAGTCACACACAAGAAAAGCTTCAGGTTTTCTACCCGCAATGATGCAAAACAAGAAAGTGAGCTTGGCACTTTCAAACAAACACTTTCTGGAATAGATGCCCGAGTCACCACTTTACTCCAGTGGAGTGTCCCAGGTGAACTTAGCCTACCTGTCCTACTGCACAAAGGGAACAAATAATGGAGAGTTTCAGCTGAGATGGGCCACAGAGGTTATCTCACTGCTTCCTTCTCTGGCATCTTCCATCCCAAATCCTGGCCCACAAGAAAGAGAGTGAAAGGGCTGAATCATCTGCAAGTGCCAAATCCGGGCAGTGACTCGCTATTCTAATTACTATATAAACGTCGTTATGTAGATAAAGGCCTTTTACTTTGTTCTCTGGCACAAAAGAGGAGGAAGGTTGAATTTGCGGCTGGAAGATGACGGGATCCTGGCCATCATGAAAGGAACAGGGTGTCCACATGAACTAACAGTGATTAGAAGCGAGAGGCACAACCTGTCAGTTTTACTACCAAGTCCCCAAGACCACATACTAAGGATGATACTGTTTGTCAAGAAAAGCTGCCAGCAAAAAGATTCAAATCTGCTCTGTTGAGAGGCTTTCCACACCACAAACCTCGGTGATGACAGCTGGCCAAAACAGCTGAAAATTCTGTTCCTCGCTGAGCTTGAGTATTAAACATTGCTATCTGAGGCCAAAAGAACTAAAGATGAGGAGATTTAAAGGTGGTGCAAGAGACAAAGAGGACAACATGCCACGAGCTGATGGAGGACTGGCACTAAAATAGATTGCATGTCAACTTTGGACAAAGATCCAACCTTCTGTTTTCTTTTCCTCACCCCCAACCGCTCATGGCAAATGCCTGCCCCAACCTGAGCCTGGTTTTGCTGGAGGTTTCTTCCTGTTAGAAGGGAGTTTTTCCTTCCTACTGTCTCCACGTGCTTGCTCATAGGGGGTGATCTGATTGTTGGGTCTTTACACTACAATATAAACAGCCTTGAGCTGCCTGTTGTGATTTAAAGGGCTATATAAATACAACGGAAATGAAAAATCAAAAATTCATCAACAAGGGTGCCT